AGTATAACCCTCTCTTTGAGCTCTGATAGCTGTGGCTCAGCCATCTGTGCCAAGGAGAGAGGAGATCACCAGCAATAGCACCAACTACGACAGAAGGCACCGTCCAGCATTGAAGAAGTCTGCTAAGGATGCCAGAGGGACTGGGGAGTACTCAGCTCACTCCTTGGGGTGTCCTCTCTACTAGCTCTTCTGACTTGGGTGGAAGACAGGGCAAAGTATGACCACGTTCTAGAAAATTGGGAGCAGCTTTGCGTGTGGCTCAAACATCATGTCTTGCCTGTACGAGGCCTTTCGGCTCTCTGCACACCAGGTGGAATCTTGTCGCCATCATAGGGCCATTTTACCACTTAGTTTCATGGCAGAGACATTCGCTTCCTCTACAACCTGTGCGAATAGGAGAAAGAAAGTACCCACCTTCTCAGTCACCACAGAGCCACCAAAGATTCTACATCCCAGAGCTTTCTGTAGCAGACTTGAAAAGTCCTTGGCCGGGGCTTTGGCCATGGTAGTAGATTGGAACAGGAAAGAGCCAGTAGGGCAGAGCCAGGAGAGGCACAAGAGTGAGGGAGACCTGGATGCTGCCTTTTTTTTGGAAAGGGGGCCAAGCTCATACCATCTTAGCTGATACTACAATCAGATTTTTCAGGGTTAAGGTTCTTTTCTATTACACTTTGGTCATTGTGATGCTGCAGTAGAAAGTAAACAATAGCAGTGGCTCCGTTGTGTCATCTTTCCCTTCTATAACATAATTTATATGAAATTTAAATCAAGAAAAAAATACTGAGCTAGGCTGAAGGTACGATGTGGTAAGAATTGCTAGGGGAGCTTGTGCTGAGCCCACGGTTGCCTGCCTGTCTTCCACAGCTGCACCTCAGAAGTGATTCCTCTGTCTCCCCGGGTTCCCCGGCACAGCTGCTCTCCCAGCTCTGGGACTTTCTACCAGCACTCTCCTTTGCACTTGGTGGTTTGGGAGCTGAAAATGTGTTTTGAACTGTAATGTAAGCATCTCAACTTGTTGCCTCTCATACCCCTCTATCACTGTGGCTTTTTAAAATCATGTAATTTTGACTTAAGTAAAAACAAAACAAAACAAAAAAAACCCTTCAGCCTAGCTAGGCTTTCCCCTTGCCTCTTGAAAGAGTGATTCCCTTCCCTCTTTCTTTCTTACCTAATTCTTCCCCAGCATTCTACCCTCATCCATACTGCTCTGTAATATACTTCAGGCTGTGTTGATTGGACAGAAGTTCATCAGCTAACTCACCTTGAATTGGCAAGGTGGTAAAATTAGTGATTTAGTGGTGTCACTGAAATCCTAATCACACATGACCTATTGGAGGAAAGAGAAATGTTTTCCTTTATGGGAAATCATGCCTGACTTGCATATTCTAGTTTTTTTGAGGATAAAAAGAAACATGCATTCAAGAAATAACAAGATACAATTTGTTCAGAATTCTAAAGAATTTTTGTTAAGGTTCTTCACTTAAAGCAACTTTAAAAACACCAGTTACTATGAGATATGGGAATATTTTTTCATTCCTAGGAAACAACTTGGAGACTTAAGAATAAACGTCTTTTTGGAGATAATGCTAACAGGGGAAGTTTCCTGGAGATGGATGCTTGGTTTAACCTTACTTAAGATTTTTATAAATTACCCAAAAGTAGGATATTATAATGCAGTCAAATGTCACTACTTTCAGGTAATGACAGGTAAACCAGAAGGGATTTAAAAAAACAAAGCAAACCACAGAAGGCCCACAAGCCAGGCTATGACAACTCAGGAAAATGACAGGTGAGGTTCAGTCTAGACAAGTGTAAAGTAATAGAAGAATCAGCAACCAGCAAGGCAGCAAGCTCTGTTAGAACTCAGCAAAGTAACCTCACCATTGCTGCTGGGAAGGAAGGGTCAGTGTGCTGGTCTGGCTCAAATGTCCCACCTGCATCATCAGGAAGGACTCATGGAGACAACGCAGAAAACAGGACCTCATAGAAAACCATTTTACTGACTCAAATTCTCTGTGCACTTCCAGTCACCTTATCTCCAGAATATATGATGAAGAGAGGAAAGGTCCAAAGAATAGCAAAAATTATCGGGGGTTGGACATACTCTCACATGAGGACACGGTTTAAAATGTCAGCTCCAACTCTGGAAAGGTAAACGCTGAGGGTAGTGTGAGATGGGATATCCAGTCAAGGGGAAGGTTGTGCTCACGAAGTCCTGCCACACCCTAGCTCTGGGGCTCAGCCTCAGAGCCGTAAGGACAAGCACTTCTCCCAGCAAATCAGAAACTTCAGGAGCTCATTGACCAAGAAGTGAGGCTGGCAGAGGCTATGTATGGGTGGCAAAGGTTTAAGAGGAATCCTTGTATGATGGCCTTGCCATGGAATTACGGAAAACTAGGGCTATTTGGTGAGACACAATTCGAGAGAGTAACTGTGTGTCCCTCCACAGACTCCCCCTTAGTGCTCCTTTGGAAGGCATAATGTTGAACAAAATGAAATCACTAGTCCTCTCAACTATGGCCTTTCTAATGTTGTTAGAGGAGGCCTTGAGGAGGAAGATCAGTAGCCGGAAAATAGAATCATTCAAACTTAGACTCATCTGAATTGGTTTAAAATCACATTCTGATTCTCTTTCCCTCCCCTCCTGCTCCCCACCCCTACCCCCACTACCCCCACCATATCCCTCTGGTATCCCTCCGTGCAGAGAAAATGCCTCGTGAGCCTTGCTTGATAGAACATCACTGTAAGCTTGTGCTTGCTGGTAGGCGATAAAAACAAATCTGGCAAACATCCAGGCTAACCCCTTTAATGGCCAGAGTTCAGTCAGGTTTCTAGGCTCTCTGGAGTTCTTGTCCATGTGACAGACGGACCCCTAGAATTTCTGACTCTCCTACGTGGCATCCTTGGCTATTGTATCTTGAAATCCTCCTGCAGGAATGTGGTATAGGGGTCATCCTCCCAGGAAATTTTAGTTCACAATCATCTTGTGTAACTTCATACTCCTGTTGATTGGGGGAAAGACTTGTATAATGAAGAAATGTGAACTGGTTGGTAGTTCTCAGGATAAATGTAAAGAAACAAAAAAAGGAAGGAAAACAGTGCTTGGACTGCTTATGATTTCTGCCTTGGAGCTCTAAGACTCTGTGAACAAGAAATAATACCTCAAGAAAATGTCTGGAGTGATAGCACCACTATCCCTCAAAGACCTCAGCTGCTGCACATCGCCATTTCAGCTGTGAAGCGTTTACAACTCTGTATCATCTATGATTGTCGAGATTTCCTGTTTACACGGATGTACTGGAGATCGGCTTTAGTGCATATGGACTGGTTTAAATGTCTCTGAGCTGAGCTGCAGGGACGTTTATTGATCTCAAATTTGTTTTCAACTCGCTGGAATAATTCACCTCATTTCTTTGACCTAAGACTGAAGGAATGGGTTCTATTCTTGTGACGGCTGCTTTTGCTGCTTTCTGTAATCTGACCCTCATTTTGCCATGGTCCTCAAACTTTATGTACCCTTTTCATGGTTCTGAAAGAACAGTTTCTGCATATGGAATGGACAAGGGATAAACACTACCCCACAACACCCCAGAATTTAAATGCTTCCTTTGAACCCATTTAACATGAGTTTCCCCTTATTCTAGTTCAGGGGGTTAGTGGAAAGCAGGTAGTTTCAAGTATTGCCATAGTGATAATGGAATTTACCATTCTAAACCTTTGCACTAAGGGTTTGTTTTTTTCTCATTTAACACTTGCCTGACTTCTAAAATCATTTATAGTAACATCACAAAACAGTGGAAACAAACGAATATTGCTGCAATGCTAATAGAATGGCGTTTGGTTGAAAACTGCGAAAGCTGTCCTGACCTAGTGATTTACCATAGTCATTAGTGTTTCAAGAGAGGCTGGTGTGATGTACCATCCTTCCAGAGACTACAGCCCTCATCTAGATCTTTTCTCACCTTCTACTAGAGTAGGAATGTTCCCATTCACCTCTGACGGGTACGGATGGTAGCTGTTGTTGAGTGGGGATTTTTTTCCCCATCTCTCACAACAGACACAAGGAGAAACACTCTCAGAGAACCTTAAACTGTGAGGCTTTGCTAAATGGCTAGACTTGTGATGTATCTTTCTCCTTCATTGCTTGTAAGTTTTACCCTTTTCCAATATCTCAAACTGCAATAGATATAGTTCCTGTAATTGTTTAAAAAAATTTCTGTTAGAGCTGAGAGACTATCTGCCCCCGCCTCCTCCCCACCGCCCCTCTCCACGTTTATTATCCAGTCAAGATTTAGTCTGAGTCTTAGAGCATTTCTTTCTGGAATGCCCCACTAAAGTGTCTTCTTCACTGGCTAAATATATGTTTAAAGCCATGGGTTTTAATGTAAGATACTAAAAGTCAGATCTGTTCAACTTTGTGAGTCCAAGCTGTTTCCCCTCCATCAGGGTGCTGAACAGAACTGGCATCTTTTAAGACATGCTCAGGAAAGCTTCAAAAGAGAATAGCTTCAAAACTCTTCTCCCTATGACACTGAATGACCGGGGAAGGAATTCTTGGGGATTGCCAATTATATACGGTAGCCTTATTACTGCTAATCACTGTCAATAAAAGGTCACTCCATTCCCCTCTATTTGAGGACAACAATGAGAATGTGTCCGATGAACTGGAATACTGGTCAGTGTTGGGAAATTTTAATGTTGCATTATCTAATCAAACCTTGAGTGTACTGGTTCTGTGAACCACCTGAAAAAAGCAAATTAAACTTACTAAATGCTGGTTGTGGTCTACCTGTTTATAGGAACCTGAAATATATGCGCTTTTACATTATTGTTAAGTGGCTTAAGTACTCTTTTATGAGATAAAATTTTAATGATTCTAATAGAAAGTGGGAAGGGCTCAAATTTTCAAAAAAAGCCAAGACCAGTTCTATTCTGACACCAGAGAAGAATGATGAACTACTCCCCATTCCAACCGGCCAGACAGAAAATGAATACACATATGGCAAGTTGGAAAACAGTTTAATGCTCACCAAAATCCATAGGAGAACTTTACATCTTTACAGGGACTAATTTTTCCACTACTGTTGCTATCACTGTGTTCTTCATGGTAGAGTGTCTCAAGTCATAATTTCTGGTTGTTTCATCTACTTAAAACCAGAAGGGAGAAACAACCTAAGTCATGCTTCAGTGCGAAACCGTCGAAGCTCTCCTGGAAAGGTTTTCTCTCTGAAAGCAGCTTCCCTGTCTAGAAGATGCTTAAGGCCCACGTACCTTCTTCCAACTGGTCAAGAAACAGTTAAATGCCTCAAAATGCCCAGAGGTCCCAATATTTAGTCAAGGCAGGTATGAAACCGGCTGCATGTCTTTTAGATATGATGAATATCAGAGTTCCAAGAAAGACAGTAAAATCATCATGGAATCCTTGGAGGACCAAGATAAGAAAGCACCAGTGCGAAAGTCTCATGCAGCAGCAAGTCTGGAACCAGCACTTTTCCCTTCAGTACCAGGCCTTTCTAGGCTTTGGTCTAGAAGAAGATGATTTTTTTGTGCTTTGAGTTGGGGATCTGCCCCTTCGACTTTAACCTCCGAACAGCCTCCCTCATATGTTTGGGTTGTAGTGGTGGCATTTCTCCCCACTTCTCACACACATCCAGTGCTAAACAGAGGACAAAAAGAAAAGTTTCATTGTCACACAAGGACTTCATATCACATAATCCCCATAATCCTTCTTAATTTTGCTGAGGAAATAAACCAAGATACTGTCCCTTCTTAAGAAAATGCTATAAAACATACCATGTTAGCTTTAGTATAATGGGCAACAGTTTAAAACATAACTTCTGCTTAAAAAGAAAAAGTTTAACTGATGGGATTAGCAATACACAGCAGCCAGGTTCTTCCCTTGACAGACAGAGGGCAGGTCCCATGGGTCATAACATCGGGGACAACTCCTCATCATATCACACTGGTCAGCCCCCAGTGATTGCTTTTCTTGTGTCTTTAATTTGGCAAACAGAAATGAGCAAAGTCCATTGGAGAAAAATATGAAGTCCACTTCTGTCACCCTGGGCTGAGGACAGGAATCCAGAAAGGAGATTTCCCAGATGTTTCCTTGCCTCTGAGTATTAAAACTTTTGAGGAATAATGGTCATGCTCTCCAGAATACAGGTGCCCCACGTGGTCAACTCCTAGTGCAAATGCAACTCCCACAAGTGCTTTACCAGGTCCTTTAGTATAGTCTTGAAAGTAAGACCACGAGAGGTTCAATCCCATATGTGTATCAACAATAACTCACCTTCTTCTACCACCTCCCCGACGAAAACCTTGGAAATACCAGACATAGCAATAACAACATTCTGAGACACAGAGGTGCCTGTGATGGACTGGATCAGCTTAAAAAAGGACAAAAGATCATGATTAATATAGGCAAGAACTAGCTTTGGAATATGGTACCCCTAAGAGTTTTTTTTTCCCAAGAAAGTGGAAAGTGTTTGATAAAGGCTGGATGTTGAAATTAAGACAATTAAAACAAGGATTTGGGTGTATACTGACCTATATGTTGAGACCCTATCCCTGGAACACAAAACTCTCATTGATAATTGAAGGGCGTGTTATTTTTATTTTCCTGTATGAATGATCCACCACCTTGACTAACACCCCACTCTGCTCACAGACATAGCTCTCGAGTCTAGTTCAGCTCTCATAACCAACAGAAATCAAGTATGGCTGTCCATCCTTACCCTCTTAATGGCTGCCTTAGGGAAGGCTGACCGGCGATACATTTCGTAACGGTTCAGCTGCTCCTCCGAAAAAGAAGAAACCAGGATTCTAGACAAAGATTCAGGTAATTGAGTTGGCTTACAAGAACAAATGCTTAAGATAAATTATCACTTCAATAAAAGCAAATCTCAGACAACTAGAAAAAGAATTTTCGAGGGGTCAATAGCATTAGGCTTGGTGCTTACAAGGAGTGAAGATAAAGCATTTTTACTTTTTTAAAAATTAATTTATTTGACAGAGAGAAAGCACAAGCAGGGGGAGCAGCAGGCAGAGGGAGAAGCAGGCTTCCCGCTGAGCAAGGAGCCCAATGTAGGCCTCGATCCTAGGACCCTGGGATCACTACCTAAGCTGAAGGCAGATGCTCAACCGACTGAGCCACCCAGGCGCTCCAAAGCATTTTTACTCTTAAGGAACTTGAGAAAAAGTTAAACACAACTTTCTTTCTACTTTACTAAGAACGAAAACTTAAACAACAATGTTGGGTCACAGTATACTACACTATGTAGATTGCACGGACTGTGTTTTCAGCATGTGGCTCTCTCTCCCCATAACTCTACCTTACTACACATTGATGGTAAAATTTTGATACATAAATTTTATATTCAAACCAGTAGTTTTCAACATTAACCCACTTGGGGGAAATGTTCTTAAAATATATGGAAAAGGGTTAATGCTCTTAATACTTTCAAATAAATAAAAAGATGGCTGTATTAATTTAGAGAACGAGCAAAGGACATGAACAGGGAATTTACAAAAATACCAATGGTGAATTTCAGGGGAAAAAAATAACTACTATTAACTAAAGAAATGAAAATGAAACACCAGGGCCCCTGGGTGGCTCAGATGGTTGAGCGTCTGCCTTTGGTTCGGGTTGTGATCTCGGGGTCCTGGGATGGAGCCCTGCATTGGGCTCCCTGCTTGGTGGGGAGCCTACTTCTCTCTCTCCCTCTGCTATTGCCCCCGCTTGTGCTCTCTCTCTCTGTCAGGTAGATAAATAACATCTTGAAAAAATAAAAAATAAAATGATAAACTAAAATAACATTTTTCATGAACCAGACAAGTATTATAAAGAATGGTATTTAGTAAGAATGGGAGAACACAAACTCATACCTGCTGGTAGAGTGTGAAGTATAACAACCTTTCTGGAGAAGAATCTGGAAATGTGTATGAAGAGCTTTTGAAAATATTTATACTGTCTGAACTGGCGATTGACTTCTAGGAGTTTATTTAGGAAATAAATGGACCAGTATGCAAAGATGTGCTCAAAGATACTCATCTCATCAAAATGGTATCAAGAGAAAAAAAAAAAAAAAGAACTATAGGGACTGACTAAATAATTCATCTGCATGATGGAATATAATGCAGCATTGCAACTGATGATTTTTGGGCATATTTACTAAAAATATTTAGCTATACATATCAAACAGTAAAAACAAATCTGAAAACAACAACAACAATAATAACAAAAAACAACCAAAAAAACCCCAAATCTGAAAAAGTATATAATCAAATATATACCCAAGGTTAACTCTGGGTGGTGGGATTATAGGTAATTATTTTTTCCATTTTTCTGTATTCTCAGAATAATTTGCATGAGCCCGTACTACTTTTACAATCAGAAAACACCATGAGGGGTGCCTGGCTGGCTCAGTCGAGTGGAGTGTGTGACTCTTGATCCTGGGGTTGTGGGTTTAAGCCCCATGTTGGGTGCAGAGATTACTTAAAAATAAAATCTTAAAAAAAAACAACAAAAAAACCCCACAATGAAGCTATTTCATTTTAAAAAAAGTTATGACCTAGATATATAATTACTGACATGGAAAACATTCACCATACATAAGGTGAAAAATAGGTTACAAACAGTAACATCTTTGAAAAAATTTATTTCTAGATATATATGTATAGAAAATATCTTGGAGCCCATACACCAGAATATTAGTTTTTATCTCTGCTGATAAGATGTTATTTTTCTTTTTACTTATTTTATTTCCTTAAATGTAACATAAGATATTATTTGCTTTATTATTTTTTTAATACAAAAAAGGGAAAAAAAATTAAAGGCCAAAAAAATTTATTAATTTTGTGTGGTCAAGTTAGAGTCTTGAAATGGGGGAAAAAAATCAGAAAGTGACTCACTGCATCTTTTGAATCTCATCTTCATCCACTTTTTGCTTCTTCTCTTTCTTTTCTTTGGTATCTATTTTCATTTTTTTGGCTGCAGGAGTAAGTAAAGATGAGTCTTCCCTTTCAACTGCTGTTAAATCTGAGATGTCCTGACTCTTGAGCTGAAAAGATGAAAGAAACCCCATTATATATGTGACCTACTTTCCAGCCTTGGGCAAGGTAAGACCTCATTCTCATTACAACACAACAAATCCATTATTCAATAGGTTTTTGGTTCCAGACACTGGCGTGTACCATCATCATGAGTAAGATACACTCTCTCTCCTAAAGAAGTTTATATAGCCCACCTGTGGAAAGAAAACCAGCCAAATAATCCAGTTTTCCAGTTTAGCTGTGCTCATAGCTCTAGTATGTTTACAAAGGAAATGATGTGCCAAGAATCATGAAAAACACTCCCTCCCCTTGAGCCCACCTTCCTGACCTCACTCTTTAAAGGGGATGAGAGAAAAGTCCTCTCCATCCAGCCAGCTCTTCTGCCTCTAAATCTATAGATCTCTTTATTGTTGATTATTCCATCTGGAAAGAATATTAAAAACGAGGCACCTTCTCATCAAAACAGTGTTTCTTTGGATTTAGAACTTGAAATAAATTTTTTTTTTTTTAAAGTAACTCTTACCCCTAGCATGGGGCTCGAACTCATGACCCTGAGATCAAGAGTCACATGTTCTATTGACTGAGCCAGCCATGTGCCCCTGGATTTGGAACTTATAAGTGAACTTCTCCCACATGTAGTGCTCATTTCTTCCTACCTCTCACTGTACTGTATCATGCACATATTTATGTTCCATTACTAGACTGAAAACTTTTTGAAGGCAGGTTTGACTCTTATTATTTATCTCTCCCCACATAAGCCTTTAGCATAGGTTTACTCATGCTAGATGTTTAACGTCTGTTTAATAGCAATTAAAATCAAAAGACACAACAAACCTCATTAATGGGATTTAACCTCTGTTTTTCCCAAAGAGGAACTCACAAAAACTCATACAGGAATATGACAAGGTTGAGGTTGAGGTTGAGGTGCCTAGGTGAAAGTGAAGGCAGTATACCTTTATTTTTTTTTTTTAATTTTTAAAAGATTTTATTTATTTATTTGACAGACAGATTACAAGTAGGCAGAGAGGCAGACAGAGAGGGGGGTAAGCAGGATCCTCGCTGAGCGGAGAGCCTGATGCGGGGCTCAATCCCAGGACCCTGGGATCATGACCCCAGCTGGAGGCAAAGGCTTAACCCACTAAGCCACCCAGGCGCCCCGGCAGTATACCTTTAAAAAGATTTCTCAACTTCTTCCCTAGTTACCTATTTAGTACAAGTTTTCTAACCTCTCTGTGCTTCAGTTTTGGTGATTTATATTTTCCCCCCAAATGAGCCATTTTTCTTAGATTTTCAAATTTAAGAGATTTTGTTTATTTAATAGAGCATGAGTTGGGGGGTTGGGAGCCCCCATTTTAGCAGGGAGCCTGCAGTGGGGCTGGATCCCAGGACCTCAGGATCACAACCTGAGCTGAAGGCAGACCTTCACCGACTGAGGCACTCAGGAGCCCCTGTTGTTCTTTTTCTGGTCTCTTGAGTTGGGTGCTCATTTTCAGCATCTCCTGTTTATTAATAAAAATATACAAAGCTATGAATTTTTCCTTAAATAAAGTTTTGGCCACAGGATTTAATGTACTGTTCCCTTTGTTAATTTCTTTAACCTAAAGCCTACTTTAAAAAGTTTAAAATATCCAGGTGCTAGTTTTTTTTGGGGGGGGGGAGTGAGGGTGGAGAGAAGCTTTTCATTATTAATTTTAGGTTTATTGCACTGTACTAACAGGATGTGACGTTTTGGTTTCTGCTTTTAAGAATTTGTGTTTTTCTTCGTGGTATGGTGTGTGATCACTTTAAAAAAAAAAGATTTTATTTCATCTTTAGAGAGAGAGAGAGAGCGCAAGTGAGCGCACAAGAGCAGGGGGAGGGAGAAGCAGACTCCCTGCTGAGCAGGGAGACTGATGTGAGACCGGATCCCAGGACTCTGGAATCATGACCTAAGCTGAAGGCAGCCGCTTAACAATTGGGCCATCCAGGTGCCCCTAGATGATCAATTTTTAGAAAGTGTTTCAGATAAAAAAAATTTTATCTTCTGTTGGGTGCAACTAGTGAGCTCTTTATGAGGCTAAGCCAATTATTCACATCTTCTCTGTCCTTCAGATCTGTTTTAAAGGTTCCTTCTTAAAATAATTTCATCACATTTTTCTTTTTCTAAAAGTTCTTACTTTATCTTGATGCCACTTAGTGCTCTGAAAGACTGTTTCTATTTAATCCAATGTCCTCCCCCATGATCTCTTTAAGTCCCAAAGAAGCTCTAAGACCCCAAAATTCTATTTCTAGAAATGGAACTGAGAGAACACTGACATTCTGGTCCCCTGATTGATGCTCAGTTAGCAACACTGCTGAGCTCTTCAGGTGGCACAACTGATGGGTTTGGGGTATTTATGCTATAGAGACCTTTGGACATTAACACCCAGGTCACTGGTAGTAGTTAAATGTCCAAAGAGGGTAAAAACATGGCTAATCCAGTAACTCCCTCAAAGTCTCCCTTGAAAGATTCTGCAGCATATAAATGTAAGGACCTATTTAGCCAGAGCGACTCTATCTCAGTTAAAAGCCATTTTGTTGTTTGTGCAGTAAACTTAAATTGACCCTGCCCCCCAGAGGAACTTACTTAGAAGCAAGTCTGGAAAACCAGTAAAATGTAGTCAGCTAGTTCCTGATAACAGAGCCCAGAATACAAGGACGAGTCAAGCCAGATGGAGACATCTAATCAGTATGAAGTACTGTTTGTAACAGTGAGAAGGTCTTGCCCAAACCAAAACGACTCCATCTTGGGAAGAACGACCATCTTATTATTCACACTGAATATGTTAACTGACTAAGCCTTTCTAGAAGGTACTATTTGTAACGGTTCCTGGTATGGGGTAATCTTAAATAACAAGTCACCAGAACAGAAGGAACTAGCCAATCAACAAGAGACACACAAACGGGGGGGGGGGGGGGGGCTAAGATACCAAGATATGGGTTGCAGTTTCATCCAATAAAAGGCAGCCTGTAAGACTGGGAGGGGTCGCTCTCTTCAGAGGCGGCCCTGACTGGTCAATCAATTCTTAAGCCTGTAACCTGGGGGTGGTCGCTCTCTTCGGAGACTGCCGGGGCTGGTCAGTTTGACTTCTAATGCTTGGCATAGGATAAAGCTTTGCATAACTTTAACTTTGTTCCAGTCTCGTTCCCCTGGCCAATCAGTCTGACTTCTAATGCTTGGCATAAAATAAAGCTTTAAATAACTTTCACTTTGTCTGTCTCCTTTCGTTTAATAATGGACCTAACATAATGACAAAGTTATGCTTGAGGAACATCTAGGAGAAACCATATTTCCGTCAAAGGGGTTCTAGGAATCCTGGGTTCTAGCTCTTGGGCTAAGTCTTAGTGTAACATCAGATCCCAATTTCCTCACCAGGAAAACCATGAGGCTATGTCAGAGTCCCTTAGGGGCGCCTGAGTGGCTCCCTGCATAGACCAAGCCACTCCTGATTTCACGGTCGTTGAGTTCAAGCCCCACCTTGGGGATAGAGTTTACTTTAAAAAAAAAAAAATTCCCTCAGAAGTAGCCTTGATATCTAAGGGGAGGGATTAAAAGTATTAACCCAATGGCTGGGTGTCTAGAACCGAACCAGCATTACAGTTTTGTTTTCTCCCTCTCGCCATCCACCTTCGCAGATCTGGAAGGAGTCATGATGAGTTCGAGTTAGCTTGGCAGGGACCAACCAGAAAGCCGGTCCAGCAAGCAGTAACAATCTCTGGCCTCATCAACACTTCTCTCCCTACCTCGCCTTCTACGGCCGTCGCTTCTTTCAAGTCCCCATCTCCGTCTCCGTCAGTTTCCTCCGGGATTCCGTCCGTGTCGGTAGCTCCTGGGCCCCGGGGAGCAGCGGCCGTTTCATCTGGCTCCCCTGTTTCTCCTCCTTTTTCCGTGGGCGACTCGCAGGCGTTATCCATAGCAGCAAGGAAAAGGGGAGAGATCGCAGTCCTGATAGCTCTGGAGCTCCCGACCTAGTGTAATACAGCAGCCCAAAAGCTTACTTCCTGTCGTCGCGCTATGATAACATCACTCCTACGGCTCCTCGGAGGGGACATTTTGAAGCACGCGCAGGGGAGTTCGGGGCTCCGTTCTAACTATGAATTGGTGGCGGATGGAGAGGGAGGATTCAGGGTACAAAATTCAGTTTGTGGATTTTCCTTCCACGTTGGGAAATCAGCATTTGTAAAGGATAGTTGTATTGTTTACTGAAGGACTCCCCCGCTTCCCCGAAACTTCTGCCTTTCTAAAAACGTAGTTAACTCCTTAATCCGCTTTCTTCAGAGTAAAGTTTGGGGACGGGAGAAAACTCAATTCCGTCATCGCCCGTGTAGTGGGATGCGGCTATCTGATAAAACTTAGGCAGGGACTCAACCTCGTACATTTCAATTGGGTAGAGATCGTGGGCCTGTGTGAGTCTCCAGAATTTCTCTTCGGTTCCTTAAGCACCTTAAAATAAATAAATAAATAAATAAATAAATAAATAAATAAATAAATAATCATATGGTTTGAACAGAATTAATCCAATCCATTTATTCACTCCACAACTTTTGACCGCTTACTTCGAGCTAGGAACAGTTCTAGTAGCAAAAACACATAGTTTCTACCCAATTAAGTGAGTTTTCCAATTCACCAGTCCTCAAGATTGAGGTCGGTTTCACAAACCTGACTTCTTATGTCAGTTTAGTTAATCTCATCATAAGCAAGAGGAAGCAAATCCTGCTGGGAAGGGAGGTCGTCTTCTTCTTCTTTTTTGCACATTTCACTTTAACAAGCCATTTCAGAGATTGGGACCAAGAAGAAGTGGAGATGTTTCTATTTAAAATTTTTCCTCTCTTCCCTCATTGAGGTACGGAGCGGTGCATTTTATTTACCTCTGCATCACTAGGTCTCCACATCCACCACATATTTAACTTACACGTGCTGAAAGAATGGGCTTGGAAATGTAGGTGCGCGTTACCATATTTCTCTCTTTGTTTCTACGCTGCCTGGGTGAATTACCGTATTTCCTGTCCTGAGGGCTCCCAAAACCTTCGGGGAAGGAGCGCACTTCGGTAGGCGCATACAGGTGGGACCCGTTTGTTCCCTTCCACCTGTACAGCGGATATCTACAAGGCGCTTTCCTCTTGCCCCCGGAGGCCTATCTCCGCAGATCCGGGTCCATTTCCAAATGGACAGACCAAAGACACCTGTAACCGCCGGCCGAGCCCCGCCCAGCTAGGTGGGCAAGGGGGCGGGGCGCGGGGGCGCGGTGACGCGTGACGCCAGATCCCGGAAGTGACGCGCTCTTGGGGCGAAAAGGCGGGGGGGAGGGGGGTGGTGTCCCCGGCCGGTTTGGGGGGTGCGTTGCCCGGAGACGGAAAGTTTGGGAGCCGGAGCGGGCTCGGCCGCAGCCCTGGGAAGGGGGTCCAGGGGGCGGTGGCCCTGGGGATGGGGAAGGAGCAGGAGCTGCTGGAGGCAGCCCGCACAGGGCACCTCCCGGCCGTGGAGAAGCTGCTGTCCGGGAAGCGGCTCTCCTCAGGCTTCGGGGGCGGCGGCGGCGGCGGCTCCTCCGGGAGCGGCGGCGGCGGCGGCGGCCTCGGGTCCTCGAGCCATCCCCTCTCCAGTCTGCTCAGGTGAGTAACGCCCCGGGGCTGGACGGCCGCCTGGAGACCCCCTCTCCCCCGCCCGTCTTCTGGGTCTCCAGAGAGGTCCGCGCTTCTGAGACCCGACCGGGTGGGTTTGCTGGGTGCCCCGGGTCGAGGGCGGGCGGCCCACGGGGCGAGGAGCGCGGGTGCGGGTCTGCGCGGCGCCGGGCTCTCTCTCGCATCCTGACCCAGCTGAGGAGAATGGTGGGAGTGCCCAGGTGGCAGCCGCCGCCGCCGCATGGCACAGCCCGGCTTCACCCTCGCCCGCTGTAGGGTGCCAGGTGTGCTATCTCACAAGCCACTTCAGAGCAAAGAAGTATTTATTTTAAATATCCCTCACCTCCTGCAGAATCTCCCACGCCTTGCAGAATCTCGCCGCTCGCCTGGAGGAAATTCTCTTGATTCCCCTTCCACCACGCTCCGCAGGACCTGGCTTTTGTTTATATTAACATTGTGTCTGGATTTATTACGTTCAAAGTATTCCTTTAGTCCCTCTTGTGCTTAAAGCTCAAATTCTAGCTCGTTGTAGTGAACCTCATTGGATTAGTCTGCTAAGTGGCATATGCAGGATTCATTAAGGGGTTTATTCGTTAAGAAACAAAGCTTTAGAAAGACTGGTTTAGGAAGCTCAGGGGTGCTTTAAAGTTCTCTGAGACCTGTTGTTAAACCCTTGAATCTGGAAATGTACCTATGTTGAGACAAAAAGGTCATTTTTGCATGGCGTGGAGGGGGGGGATTGGAGGTGCTTTGTCAGTGTGAGTAAAATGTGTTGGTTCAGCAGCACTTTCATTGCCTGTTTTCTTTTCCTTCCTTGTTCTTTTGAGGTTTTTAAGAAGTGGAAGTTCATTTAGAAATGGCTTTGTTGGCTTTTGTTCCCCCTTAGTTTATGTAACTTCAATTTGAGTGAGCTTGGACTAAAGCAGCCCAAGGACCTGATATATTGTTAGGTATTAAGCACTGAGTACAAACCCAGGTCTACACAGGAAGATTTTTAAAAGCAGTATAAGAGAAGAACTGTCCCCAGGAGTTCTTTTGGGGAGGTTAAAACCAGTGCTCTTTGCTGCCCTTTCTCCAGCTCCTAGAACAATGTTGTCACACAGTTGGTACTCAGGATTCATTGAATGAATAAAAGTATCTCTTAGAGGATGACAAATTTCTAAATAGGCTGATGGTGGTACTGGCAGTAATTGTTAGTAGTTCAGAGAAATGAGGCATAACTTTGGGAATGAGATAGAGACCAGAGCTTCCAGGAGGAGGACTTCAGCTGGCTTTGAAGGATGTGAAGATTTAGATAGGTGAAGTACAGTGAGAGCATTCCAGGCTGGCAAGCCATGATCAGAGGCACAGAAGCAGGAAAGGAAACTTATCTGGTGCTAGTGGGGCACTAGAAGAACTTCCTGCCTGTAGCCTCGAGTGGTTGGGCATGATAAAGGGTAATAATAATGAATGGGGTACACTTCCATCTTTCAGAGTGACTTAGTCTTTCTTAAGTTTATAGTCCCAGTCCCTAGATCAGTGCCTGACAACTGATGGGTATTCATTAGATTTTCTTTTTCTTTTTCTTTTTTTAAAGATTTTATTTATTTATTGTCGAGGAAAAGAGAACACGAGCAGGGGGAGAGGAGCAGAGGCAGAGAGAGAAGCAGGCTCCCCACTGAGCAGAGAGCCCAATGCATTATTTGATCCCAGGACCCTGAGATCATGATCTGAACTGAAGGCAGATGCTTAACTGACCGAGCCACCCAGGCGCCCCTTAAAAGATGTACTTCGAATGCATGCATTCGGTTTCAAAATCTTCCCTGGATTACTCCCCCCCACCCCACCCCTGCATTACTCTGATATATCTGCAGTTCTGATGTCTGAGAGATGCAAGAAAGACTATACAAGTTTGGAGCTGACTATCTCTAATTAGCTGAATAGTGTAGCATTTGGAGGTTTGCCAGAAATACCTTAACCCCTAGTGTATCCTGCTGAAGTGAGAAACTTTCAAATATCTCCCACCTTCAAGTACAGATCAAATTACTTTTACTGCTCACACTCAGAGACTGTTGAAATTTTGCTGAGGATTTCGCTGCCATGTAGTTAAGCAAGACTAGGAAATCTTTGTTGACCACAGCGTTTTTACTTTGGGCCTCGTGCTAAAATGTCCAGTCTCTTGTCATAAAGTGTGCATGTGTCTCCATTTCCTTGCATAAAACAGCTGACCCCTGACTTGCTCTTGTGTCTCTTATGGAGATGGTAGGTGGCCTAAGAGCAGCCCCAGCCTGTCATCCCTGGGATTCCTAGGGGCAGGGAGGCTCTGCAGGCACTAGTTACACTAGGTGTGTCATTAATTAGAGGTGATTCTGGTTCAACCTAGTGAAAGATTTCTGAGCAACTGACACTCTATATTTAAATAATCCCTAGGTCAGCATGTCCTCCCTTTTTAGGTTTGGGGATTTCCCTGTGCCCACACTCCCCACCTCCAAGGACCCTTAACAAGAGCTGTGGAATCATAGCTTCAGATCTGGCCTTTGCATTAGCTGCCGTACCCCACCCTCACTAGTAGTGCCACTGCAACGTGTGTTTGTCCAGCTGTTTGACCAAGTAAAGCTGGCACGAATGGGAGTTTACAGCTGCAGCAGATATAAATGTTCTAAACCAATATGTGTGTTTGCCCCATTCATCTATTTACGAGCCCCCCCACCAGTTCCACAAAGGTTTTATGTTTATTCTTAAGCTACAGAATGCTCCCTCTCTCACCCCATCTCTTTATTCCTACACTTCTTGGACTTAGGTCTTAACTTCTTAAAGCCCTCCCTAATGACCCTAATACACACAGATCTCTCAGGCTTCTACTTGTTTGGAACCCATCATCTGGAGTGTACAGTAGCTCACTGGCTCATACTTTACTTGGCTAGCTTTCCTAGTTTATTGCTTTGTCCTGTCAGTATAATATTTACCTATAGTAACACTCACCAGTTGAGAACGTACCAGAGAATCAGAAAGTCAGCAAAAACTTTTAGGGAAAAAAAGTTGTTATAAACTTCATGTCTTTCGGACCTTCACGTAATTAGTAAAATCAGTAAAATAAACTGCACATTTATTCCGGGGCAGTACAGTATATTGTTCCGCAGTCCGCCTGCCTGAATTCACAGTATACTCCCCCCAGAGACTAGCTGCTTGATTTTTAATTATGCACCCGCTTGGAGCCTCAATTTCTGCATCTGTAAAATGGGGAAAGTATTGTTTATGTTGTAGGTATCATCTTAGATACTGTGTGTAAGATACTTCCGTAGTTTCTTGTGGAATGCTCATTGTAAATGCTCCCTGTTAACCATCCTCAGGTCAGTTCAGCCTGTGCAATTTTGCCATACCTCCCTGCTGTATGCAAAGTACCATGCCAGACATATTATAAATGGGGTTCTTTAACACTTCGGAGCGTGTTTTCTGGGCTGTGGCAGATTAGAGATAGTACATAAGGGAGATCGCCTGCTTAGGTACACACATTAGTGATGTTCATTTATCTAGTGTTTACCTGTCATCTACTTTGTGCCCAGGCGGATTGCTATGTGTGCTGCAAAGTTTAGCTCAGACCCAGGACATAGTAGGTACTTAAAATTAGCCCTTCTCCTGATACATGGTCTGTTTCCTTATGGCATTTATAGCAGATATGTCTGTGTGACCAACTGACAAAGTAAGAGAAAAAGCAATTAAAATCTATCATAATTTTCCCCCACCAGTAATTTGAGACTGTTAACTTGGATGTGCATAGCCCCACACACTTGCTTATGCCCCAGGCATCATTGTACTGTAGCTTAGTGCTTTAATTTCTGTTTATTATGACTCTTAGCCATCAGATACAGATGAAATTATATTCAGTATAGCATTCAGTATAGCATGTTAATGGAAGTAGGAAGAACATATTTTAGTTTTTTTTTATCCAAAATTATTCAAATATAATTTTTGTTACTTAAAAAGACGGCAACAGATTATTTAAAAGCATAGTTACCAGGGGCACCTGGGTGGCTCAGTGGGTTAAGCCTCTGCCTTCGGCTCAGGTCATGATCCCAGGGTCCTGGGATTGAACCCCACATCAGGCTCTCTGCTCAGTGGGGAGCCTGCTTCCCCCCTCTTTCTCTGCCTGTCTCTCCGCCTATTTGTGATCTCTCTCTGTCAAATAAATAAATAAAATCTTTAAAAAAAAAAAAAAAAGGCATAGTTACCTGAAATGTCTAGTCCTAGAAAGGTTCTGGGTGGCATGAATTTTGCTTTATATAATACAATCTCATTTTCTGATTGTTGAACAGATGTATGCCTTCAGTCAGTACCTTGGAACAGGCACTGTGTTAAACTTCTGTTTAACTCATGGTGTTTTTCAGCCTGCGCACAAATTCTCATGTAATGCAGAGTTTGATATGTTGGTGGTCATACTGTAACTACTGATTTCCAGGAAAGCAAATTCTAGATGAGAAGACAGTAAGATTTGGGTAGAAGTGAATTTTATCTACTAAAGGGCAAAAATACCTGAGAAAAGGAAATGTTATAAGAAAACATCATATATTAAAAGTGTATAGAATTATGAGCTAAATACTGGTATATGTGAATGATATAAAGTGAAATGCAGGGACCCCTGGGTGGCTCAGTGGGTTAAGCCTCTGCCTTTGGCTCAGGTCATGGTCTCAGGGTCCTGGGATCGAGGCCCGCGTTGGGCTCTCTGCTCAGCAGAGAGCCTGCTTCTCCCTCTCTCTCTGCCTACTTGTGATCTCTGTCCGTCAAATAAATAAATAAAATCTTAAAAAACAATAAAGTGAGATGCATTTCTGAGGGTTCAGAAGCACAGAGAAACTAAACCAAAGGCTAGGATGAAGGAGTAGATTATATCATGGTTTAGGGGAATTCTATACTTACTTTCTCAAGCTTAAGAGTGAATAAGAAAGGAAGCCAAGGAGGCTTACTGGAGAAATCGGAAAATTTATAGACTGTAGCATTAAATGTGGCTATAAATT